ATGGTTCATGTCATTGCAAGAACTTTATCAACACTCAGTCATGTTGAAAACCAAACTTTTAATAATTTTTGAATATTTTGGATCCTTGGTAAGCTTGCATCTAGTAAACAACTGTCAACATAACATTTGGAAAATAAACTTTAAATGATGTTTTTGTATAGTTCTAAACATAATTGTGTTTAAATTTCTTTATGATTTTTATATAATTTTGTAGCATGTAATTGACAGTAATCGGAAAGTAATGTAATTACTTTCAATAAAATAATTGATTGTAATCGATTACAAACGAAAATCAAAGTAATGGATTATTAATCGATTACACAAAATTTTTTTATGTAATCGATTAATTTTGTCAGTAATCGTGCCTATCCCTGCAATGTCAAAATATATAGGTCACTCACTCAAAAGTTTGTTCATGTGCAGAGAAGCAATAAAATAGTGTTTCTTTTTTTTTTTTTTTTTCTATTTGCAAATAATACAATATAGAAATAATTATACACTTTGGTAATAAGAATAAATCTGACATTTCTTCTCTTCCGCACTGTTGCAATATTGTTTAAAATTTGCCCAATCTTAATTCTAAAACCTGATAAAATATTTCTTTTGAGCTTGTGGTCCTGAATAAAAAAACACCATCTTTAGTCAAATCATTATCCAAGGTGAAATAATGCAAACTTTATACACAACTTTCCAAAGTTGTTATTAATTCATCTTATAATCAATGAGCCATTGTACTATACAGCTTAAAGCTCCTGGTGTGCACATGAGTACTGGTACTATTTGCTACAAAGTAAAGTTTATTTGTAGAGGTTTTAGTTATTTATTAAGAATGCTAGTATCTAAAAAGGTCATCTAAAAGGATTTCATCTTTTCCTCAAACATGCATGGATTAAAGGGGGTTGCAGAACATTGCATTTTCCTCAAATCAGACAAATTTTTGAAAGACTTGTAATTTATTAAAATTAACACACCAATACCCATCTGAAAGTGTTGTAGTAATTTAAAAACTGGTGTACCTCAAACATTAATCTTATAAATGCTTCCTTCTTTACATCAAGCATGAACAAATTAAAGGACAATGCATATGGTATCTTCCTTAATTTAAGTATGCATTAAAAAAGATACATGTAATTTACTAAACTTTTGTCAAAAGGTCATGTATTGTTGTTGTAATTTAGATAAGTAACACCGTTTTATAATTGAATTCACTCTTGCTTTATGTAAACATGATCAGAATCAAATCATTTTGTTCATAGATTGTATCAAGAGCCATTTTTCGCTCACCTGGCCCAATTTTTGTTAAGCGCCTCTAAGGCATACTGTTTCCCACAGTGTCAACATTGTGTTATTTTGCGATTAGGTCAGTTTAATTGGAACCACAAGAGGGAGGTCAATGATATTTGACAAGCAGGTGTATTAGCATTGGCATATCACATGTCCATGGGCATTATTTGGCCTTATCCTCTCAATCAGGGTTTATTGACTTCAACATCATTGCTTAGCTTAATTGTTATGATAAGGTCAGTTTGAAATTAACCACTTGAGGTAAGTCAATGATTTTTGATATCATTTGTATTAGCATTTGCACTTCTTATTTCCATGGAGATTATATAGCCCTGCTCCCTCATAGTTCATTGGCTTTGGAACTTAAAAATTGTGTTTAGGCCATTTTAAAGGGAACCGCTTATGGTAAGTCAATGGAATTCAGTTGTATTACTATTGGCATTTCTCATTTCCATGGAAGTTATTTGATCCTGCAACGTCAGTAATGGTTCATTGATTTTGAATGTTTTGCATAGTTCACATGTTAAAGTATAGTAATTCTAATTTCAAGATTTGCATTCTTCTATCAAAATTACATAAAGGCTTGACATATCTCTGTGTCAACCTTTTAATTATACTGTCAAGCCTGCGATAAAGGTCACTTCTTTTAAGCGAAAACCTCGCTTGCCAGGTCACCTTTTTCTTGTCTCTCTTTAGGAAGATCTATCCAATGTGAACCTCATATCCTTGAGCCTCAGTTGAGGTAGATACATCATTGTATAAACCTCATCAAAAGTCAAAAATTGTATATTATTTTGTTTCACCTGCGATGAAGGAGTAAGTAGGCAAGACAAAGGTATATCTTTTATGGCGAGATTGGCAGCATTAACAATTTGCAGATAACCCCAATATCACCACTCTCTCCTAGGATGACAAAAGCTTGAAAGGAGGTTGTCCATGCATGCTATACCCTCTGCGCGTTAAGGGCTCTTGCAACAACGCTTTGAAGGGGCTGCATGTGGCCTGTTGCAAGTCAAAATTTAAGTCATTATTCAATATACCCCCATTTTCAGTAGCAGTTCAAATTTCCCCAACCTTCATCCCAGACGGCCTTTATTACAAGACCTACTTATTGTATTATTATCTTAATTCTAAAACCTGACAAAATATTTCTTTTCAGCTTGTGGTCCTGAATAAAAAACACCATCTTGAGTCAAATCATTATCCTAGGTGAAATAATGCAAACTTTATACACAGCTTTCCAAAGTTGTTATTAATTCATCTTATAATCAATGAGCCATTGTACTATACAGTTTAAAGCTCCTAGTGTGCACATGAGTACTGGTACTATTTGCTACAAAGTAAAGTTTATTTGTAGAGGTTTTAGTTATTTATTAAGAATGCTAGTATCTAAAAAGGTCATCTAAAAGGATTTCATCTTTTCCTCAAACATGCATGGATTAAAGGGGGTTGCAGCACATTGCATTTTCCTCAAATCAGACAAATGTTTTTAAAGATTTGTAATTTATTAAAATTAACACACCAATACCCTTCTGAAAGTGTTGTAGTAATTTAAAAACTGGTGTACATAAAACATTATTTTTGTAAATGCTTCCATCTTTACATCAAGCATGAACAAATTAAAGGACAATGCATATGGTATCTTCCTAAATTTAAGTAAGCATTAAAAATGATACATGCAATTTACTAAACTTTTGTCAAAAGGTCATGTATTGTTGTTGTAATTTAGATAGTAACATCGTTTTATAATTGAATTCACTCCTGCTTTATGTAAACATGATCAGAATCAAATCATTTTGTTCATAGATGTATCACGAGCCATTTTTCGCTCACCTGGCCCAATTTTTGGTAAGCGCCTCTAAGGCATACTGTTTCCCACAGTGTCAACATTGTGTTATTTTGCGATTAGGTCAGTTTAATGGGAACCACAAGAGGGAGGTCAATGATATTTGACAAGCAGGTGTATTAGCATTGGCATATCACATGTCCATGGGCATTATTTGGCCTTATCCTCTCAATCAGGGTTTATTGACTTCAACATCATTGCTTAGCTTAATTGTTATGATAAGGTCAGTTTGAAATTAACCACTTGAGGTAAGTCAATGATTTTTGATATCATTTGTATTAGCATTTGCACTTCTTATTTCCATGGAGATTATATAGCCCTGCTCCCTCATAGTTCATTGGCTTTGGAACTTAAAAATTGTGTTTAGGCCATTTTAAAGGGAACCGCTTATGGTAAGTCAATGGAATTCAGTTGTATTACTATTGGCATTTCTCATTTCCATGGAAGTTATTTGATCCTGCAACGTCAGTAATGGTTCATTGACTTTGAATGTTTTGCATAGTTCACATGTTAAAGTATAGTAATTCTAATTTCAAGATTTGCATTCTTCTATCAAAATTACATAAAGGCTTGACATATCTCTGTGTCAACCTTTTAACTATACTGTCAAGCCTGCGATAAAGGTCACTTCTTTTAAGCGAAAACCTCTCTTGCCAGGTCACCTTTTCTTGTCTCTCTTTAGGAAGATTTATCCAATGTGAACCTCATATCCTTGAGCCTCAGTTGAGGTAGATACATCATTGTATAAACCTCATCAAAAGTCAAAAATTGTATATTATTTTGTTTCACCTGCGATGAAGGAGTAAGTAGGCAAGACAAAGGTATATCTTTTATGGCGAGATTGGCAGCATTAACAATTTGCAGATAACCCCAATATCAACACTCTCTCCTAGGATGACAAAAGCTTGAAAGGAGGTTGTCTATGCATGCTATACCCTCTGCACGTTAAGAGCTCTTGCAACAACGCTTTGAAGGGGCTGCAGGTGGCCTGTTGCAAGTCAAAATTTAAGTCATTATTCAATATACCCCCATTTTCCAGTAGCAGTTCAAATTTCCCCAACCTTCATCCCAGACGGCCTTTATTACAGGACCTACTTATTGTATTTATTGTTAGTTTGTTCTCGTCTTGAACATTGGACATGCATGGAGTATTCAGCACTGAACTTTTAGCAAACATCAATCAATCTGTCAAAAGATTGAGGAAGCCTGACAAAAGGGCCATGTATGTTATTTTGTATTATCATGTCATTACTTGATGTCCATTATTCATCATAAACTTGTCCAAAAATATTCCGCTATAAAACTACATAGGCAACTGTTTTGTAACTTACTTGACAGTAATGCTGTCTGGCAAACCCTTTCTCATTTTGTTTTGATCGGATAAAAACAATGCCACCACATGTTAAGGACCACCCAACAGTTAGGAAATAAAATTAGAATTGACCCTCAAAATGTTTAATCATCTTCTTTTCCTGGCTTTGTTTTTAATTAAGCTAACTTGTTTGTGTCATATATGTGCATATGTATGTAATCAGTATCTTCCATAGATTATATTTTCCAACAGTTAAAATGCTGAAATATAACTTTTCTTGTATCCATGGCAACATTCTGCATCTACTTACTATAAAATATAGCAAAAATGGGCATGAAAATGTTACATGTTTTCCCAAAAATTTGATTTAAAGTACCATTTCAATCCTTGTTAGTGATGCCTTGTCTGAAACAATTGACTTTTATCTATCAAATAATCAAATAGCTATCCAAGAATGAATTGTATTGCCCCTTACTTTCATATTCGAAAAATTCACTGGTGCCAAAATGTGAAACCCAAACTAACAGTGCAGTGCTACCAAAAATAGAAGAAACAATGTATGGGTAAAGCTGCAGTTTTTGGCTTAAATCTAAAAAAAAAATAAAGCAGTTAGGGCAAAACAAAACAGCAAATAATTATTTGATTGTTTGTTGTTCTTTTAAAAAGGAAAACCTCATTTGTATTTATAATGTTTACTTTGTACAATTAAAGTTTCATTAGATATAACATGTTCTGGTACTGCATGTTCACAGCTTTTGATGGAATTTTTAATTAAAAAAAATATTAAAATCCAGAAATGTTCACTTCATACATTTTTGCTTTCTCATTACTTTCTTGAATCATAACACATCCTATGCAGAGTTGTCCTAATGAACTGAAGGCAAGAGAACATGGATAGAATATTCCTATGTTATTAGTGTTGTAGTATGTCATTGGATGACCTTGGTTGTTTAGAATGTATAAAGATGAATCATTTTGATGTGACACAACCACATTGTCTTTAGGAGTTGCCACTATGTCCCTCGGTTTAAATGGTTGATCCTTACTGATATCTGGATGGCCGGTATATTCATTTATTATATGACCTCCTTCTTCTAAGACTACTACTCTTCCTCTACTACAGGCTGGTTCACAATCTACCACAAATATATTTCCATTTTTGGTGCTAGTTATTCTCCTTGGGTAAGTAAATATAGGTTGATTATGTTTATCATGTTCATATACAGTCTCAAGTTCTCCCTCTTCATTCATTACAAACACAGCTCTTCTTCCTAATTTGTTACTTTTACCTCCTACAACTACTTTATTACCACTGGTAATGTGGATGGCAGAAGGAGTTAAAGGGGCAACATTATACACAGTGTCTGTCAGTTTACCAGTGGTAATAGTGAGTTGTTTTAGTCTTGGTCCCCCTGTCGCTAAGAGGACATCATTAGATGAAAGTACTGCTATGCCAAAGACCTCTTTCTCATATTGCGATATTTTGCAAAGTTTGGCCCCATCAGATTTTACTTTTTGTAATTTACTTTCAATAGTAGAGCATATCCAGTATGAATTGTCAATGCATGGTCTGATAAAGGTTATTCCTTTGAGGTCAGACTGGTATTCTTTGTTGATAACTAGAGATATATTTGGTTCCATGAACAAATTTTCATCATCTTCTAAAGATCCAATATTAGATTGGGTGATATTTCCTGGAACAAATTTTGGTGAAGAAATGTAACTTGACTTAATTTCTTGTATTGGAATTTCAAGGGACGTCTCCATCTTGTTGACCTCTCTGAAGAATTTAGAAGCATCAGTGATTTGAATGAATTCCTGGACTTCAATTGTTTTATTCTTTGTCTGTGTATTGAATAAGTCGATAGCATTAAGATCAGACTTGAGTGATGAAAGAGCATTTTCATGATTTTGATCCAGTTTGTTACTGAGTTCGTTGAAATATTTTTCTACTTGTTCTTTAATAACTTTTTTATGATCCATAATATCTTTTCTGACTTTTGAATGCTTGAGATTTTTTTCATTTACAAGTTCCTGAAGCTGGTCTATTTGGATAGCTGATTCGGCATTGCTGCTTTGAGTTTTACCATGTTCTTTTTTCAGCCTCTTTATTTTCATATTGTACCCTTCACTAATCTCAGTTAAGTCATGTTTCTTATGATCTTTGGCAAAACAGGTGGGACACACAAGAAAGTCACATGTCTTGCAAAAAAGGCAGCAAGATTGTAATGAATGTTGTATACACTTAATATTGGTGAAATCAATTTCCTCTGTGTGCAGTCCTATATCTTTGATGTCTATTGCTTTATGCTCTAGTGCATTTTTGAATTTAGAATGAACTAATTCTTTGCAGTGATTACACATGAGAATATTGCAGTCTATGCATTTCCACTTGATAGGTCTATCTGTTTCGCATAAACTACAATTAACAGGTATTTGTCCTTTTCTGAATGATTGTGAGAACGCCATTATTGTAACGTGTAACACAGGTATTTTATTTCCTGGTTTATGTATAGGCAATAGGGTGAGAGTGTTTTGTGTAAAAATAAGTGACCTATTGTAGTGTAAACTTTTAAATACAACTAACCTGCTACCAATAGTATTTACCTTATGTTAAAAATTCAAAATACAATGAGGATACATGAGTGATTTGATTCAGTTCTTTTGTTATCATTTATCTTCAATGACCTTTAAATTTGACTTTTGTTTTATATTAAAAATAGTTATGTGATATTTTAACCAAAACAAAACCGTTACAAGAAATTGTTCATTACAAAGAATATGATTTGAAGCTCCACCTTTGGTGTGATCTACACTTCAAGGGGGTACATAACTTATGAACCAGTATTCTAATAGTTTTTATCCCCCCGCCGTAGAGGAGGAGGCATTAAGTTTTACCCTTGCCCGTCTGTACGTCTGTACATGTGTCCGTATGTCCCAAAATTGGTTTCTGTTCTCTAACTTTAGTTTGCCTCAACCAAATGTTATGAAACTTATACACAATGCTTAATACCTCTAAACACAGATGAAGATTGAATTTTGGTGGCGTCACTTTTTTCCGTTCTAGAGTTATGCCCCTTTACAAATGGAAAATTTGCTGAATTTTTCGTTTCCGTTCTCAAACTTAAGTTTGGCTCAACCAAATGTTATGAACTTATACACAATGCTTATTACAACAAAACACAGATCAAGTGTGAATTTTGGTAGCGTTTCCTTTACCTTTCTTGAGTTATGTCCTTTTACAAATGGAAAAATTGCTGAAATTTTTGTTTTTATTCTCTAACTTAAGTTTGCCTCTACCAAATGTTATGAAACTTATACACAATGCTTATTACCACAAAACTCAGATCAAGTACAAATTTGGGTAGTGTCACTTTTACCGTTCTTGAGTTATGTCCCTTTATAAGGTTATATGCAAGCGGGGGCAGCTGTGTCCCATGGACACATTCCCCATTTATTTTCATTGTGAAATTATTCTATGGACTATTTGGTGACACCATATCAGTTTTCGGTTATCAAATTTAAAATCCAGTGTGTTAATCACTTTTCAATTCAATTTATTTCGGATCTCTTGACTGATATTTAATACAAGTAATAATGATTTAATTTAGCCAGTCTGGCCCAATTTTATACCTCCACCCTAAAAGTGGGGCTAGATTGCATTCATCTTGTCTGTCTGTCTGTTCTTCCTAAAAAATATTTCCCTCACACTTTTCACAAGTACTTGTCAACAGAATCACATCATATTTGGTGAGCAGTGATGTTGTAATGAGTGAGCATTTTTTAGAAACGATTTCACACATTCTTCCTGTTTGCTACTTTTCCAGGACTATTGAACAGACAGACTCCGTATTTGATCAGCAGCATGGTAATGATGAGTTATAATGTGTCAGATCTTTTGAACACATACTTCCTTTTTGTTTATAATTTGAATTTTTCACTATTTTGAATTAACTTTAAACTCAGTGCCAATTATCTTGAAAACTAAAACTGTAAACCTAAAAAATTATCAGTCATAAAAGATCTACATGAATGCCAAAATGACCAAATTATGATTTTTTTCCTCACCTGTGATTAAAGTCGAGCTTGGCCTTATTTACAGGAACCATTGATAATTTTAAATGTGATACTTGTGTTTAGCATTTACTTTTAAATTTACCATATAAAATCAATCATGATAAGTAAAGCAGGCTAGAGTCCCGTGAGACATTTCAGTGTGTACTCTTGTGATCCTTTTTTAATATTTTGGGCAAAAAATATAATAGAATGAGAGAACTATAAACAACGAAAATGATCCACAATAGGAAATTAACAAAAAAAGAATTTTAGTCATGAACTATATTCTAGTCTATAATGATGGAGAGTGGCCATTGTTGAAGATGCACATAGATCAAGGTGAGGGACACAGGCTCTGTAGGGCTTCTAGTCTAAATCCAAGAACTTTGAAGACATAAAGCAAATATGTTACTGTTGAAAACAACATTCAATATATCATTACAGTATATTATTGCTATCCGACAGACTAATGTTTAGTGAACATCTAAAGAATGGTGTTTGATAAATTTACAGTATTTTGGAATCTTAAAATTACTGGGTCTGAAAAAGGGATGTAAAAATAGAGCTATTATAAGTTACTCAGTTTTGACAAACATTTAAGACCGGAAACTCTTTGCTACTATATTTACTGTAAGCAGAAGGTCAACACTATTTTATGTATGGAATTATTGTAAGGTGAACATGTCTGTCTGGCAGGTTATCATATTAAATTGACCGTATTTGCATGGATCTTTTTAATGTAAAGTTTATGTGATAAATGTTGTAAAACCTTGATCTTAAAGACTTTCTACATAAAATTCAATCAAAGGAGACATATCAGCTTGTGCACTCTTGTTTTTTGTTTTTATAACCCCGCTTTAAAAAAAGTGGGGGTATACTGTTTTACCTCTGTCTGTCCGTCCGTCATTCCTTCCATCCTTCCGTCCGTCCATCCATCAGTCTGTCCCATGAATATTTTTCGTCGCATCTTCCTCAGGAACTACATCATAAGGATTTCTGAAATTTGGTTTCAGGGTTTATATAAGTCGGCTATACCATGTGATGCGTTTTCATATTCATCACTCAACAACGTCCTGTTTACCGAACACTTACATCATTTTACACATGACATCCAAGTTGAATGAAAGAAAATTTTCGTCACATTTTTCTCAGGAACTACATTACAAGGATTTCTGAAATTTGGTTTCAGGGTTTATATAAGTCAGCTATACGGTATGATGAGTTTTCAGATTCATCACTTAGCAACTTACTGTTTACCGAACACTTACATATTTTTACACTATTAAAATTATCCACTTGCGGCGGGGGTATTATCAGTGAGCAGTAGCTCGCAGCTTCACTTGTTGTTACTGTTTTTTGGCAGTGGATAGAGACATTGACCTTTTAGTGGTATAAATGAATAAATGGAAATGTGGGGTAATATATCAATAAAACAACAACCCAACAACCCGACAATACAAAAGGACATATACAGCTGAAAAAATGGTCTTTAGGTCTACACAATATATATCAAATTCTAAATCACAAAGATCTGATGTAATCTAAAAATTATCTTCATGACAATAAAAACCCATTAAGATTAATTTAGAGACCACCACTGACAAGTTTTATTGAAATGAGGTTGACTACTATTTATTACATTAAAGTAATTTAATACACATTTTGTATTTTTCTATTTCAGCTAAAACTGTTGATGAAGATGAAGAAGATGATGGCTTACCTAATACCTATGATTACAATGATTCTTTTATAGATGACAACACACAGAAGGATTTAGAATCAGATTCGGAATCGGATTACGAAGATTCCGAGGATATCAGAGACTTAAATAAATGCTAGAAAATTTGTCAAAATAAAAAAATGTATCAAAAGTAATCAGAATAATTTGTATCATTTCATTGTCAACATTTTGTTGTTAGTACATGTATTTTAGAAATTTTATTTTTGAATCATTACTATTTTAAAGCAAAGCTTCCTTTTCTTATAAGCCATTCTATATAGTAAGGTGAACTTTTATCTACTGTGCATTGGCAGTTATAAAAATAAGTCAATTATTCTTTTTTTTCTCATCAGATGTTAATACCATTGGTGCAGGACAAATGTTTACTGTTGAAAGTTTGTGCATGTCAAATTGTATGCCATTAGTTATATTTGTTGCATATATTACTAGTAGGCCAATATATTCAGATATTGTTAAAAACATTACAGATTACTGTGGATTCGTTTATTTTCGTAGGTACAAAACATTTACAAATATTCATGGATTGGAATTAATTTTTGTGGATACTTGTTTTTGTATTTTAACAAGTTCTGCATTCAAGTCTATAGAAAATTTACATTTTGTTATAGACTTAAATTCATGTTTCACCAATACCAACAAAATCCACGATAATAAGTATGTCTTGAAATTATTATGAATCCATGGTATGTACATTTTTATATAGCTTTTTAAAAATTATTATTAGATTAAACAAAAAGACTGTCATCATGGCAGCTGTACTGTTGTTTTTTTTTAAATCACAGACTTATAAAGTAATTTTTATTTTTACACTAATAGAAATAATTGAAAATTTCAGATTTTTTGCCAATTATTTTGAATACTATTACAGATAGACACAATACGCTGCAAAAATTATCAGGAATACAAGATCTAATTTTTTTACTATAACTGAAATTGATTGCCTCCTGATTTAGAGTTATTGCCTTGAATGACGATTTTTTGACAAATTTTTGCATTTTTTCATCTTGAAAACTATTATAGATAACGAAGAAACTGTAACAGCAAAACTATTGTTTATCATAAATATAAGATCATAAAAATGCAAATAAGACTGAATCCTCAACTGATCCCCTATTGGGTTATGTCCCTCAGAAAATTATTTTGTTAGCAATTATGCCTTTTCCACTCATTTATCATGAAAACTATTTAAATAAAAACTATGAACATACAAAATGCATAGCCACATAAGATCTATAATAAAGTCATTTGATTGAAACCACAAGTGATTGTTTAAAGGAGTCCCTACCTTAAATTCTAATGTATGGATAATTCCCATTTCCATTCTCAATTTTATCTAATTTATCTTTTTGTCTATTGCATTTTTTGTCTTGCCTTGACGTAGTCAAAAAGCGAGAAATAGGTATGCTGTTTTCGACGGCGGCGTTAACAATGTATTAGTTTATCTAAACATAAGGATGCTGATGTTTTTATGTTCGTTGGTAAGTTATTCCATAGAATTGCAGAACTGTATGCAAATTTTTTTTTCATTATATTTGTGTCTGGCCTAATAAGTAAAAATTGTTTTTTGAGACGGATCTTAAATTTTTTAAGTTCTAAACACACAACTTTTTCAGATAATCAGGACTTTTGTCGTGTAAGATTTTATATACTAGAATTAGTTTATAATATGAAATTCTGTCTCGGAAACTTAACC